TATAAGAGACAGATCTACAACAGAGCAAAGGAAAAGGATTGCACCCCAAAGGCTGATGCTGGTGGGTGAAAGTCCTGGGCTGGTGGACAGAAGACCCCAGTAAAGCCCTCTACTTTCTGCAGTTAATTTAAGAGGTATGTATTAGATGTAAATCGCTCCTTTTAAAAATCTTTTTTGTTCCTTGTTTCTCACATATTACTGGGGAAATTCTTTATGTGGCCGCCCAAAGGTGCAGCACAATAGGGAATTGTTTTATTAACCAAGTGAGATGATTAAATAGGAGCCTACAAGAGTAAGGGCTTATCTGAAAATAAGGCTTTTTCTTTTTCTAAAATTCCTCTTCCTCCCTTAGTCAAGATAGTCACAGCAGCCTGAAGAAAACAAAGCAAAGGCCCATTCCATGGGTTACCTATTACTGGCAGCTTTGGGAATGCCCCACATATTTTCAGTTCAGTCCCACGCCTCTAAATTCTCTGAGCTGTAACTACAAAGAGAGGGACCGGAGCCTCTTAAAAGCCTTGTTTGGGTAATCATCCAAATAACACAAAAATAGGGAAGCTGAAGCGAAACAACTTTTAGATTCCTTATCCTGCTGCCAGGGTAGATTTTAAATAGTCTGATTTTGGTATTATGAACATAAGCACAAACACATTAAATCGATAGAAGTCTGTCCTTTTGCTTTGAATCAGGTCATATATACCTCAAAGATGGGATTTTCTTTTATCTAAAGGACTGGGAAAATTTTTCGGTCCCTGAGAGATGTTCAATGCGTATTTGGCATAAAAATCAAACCAGTGTAGAATTTCCTAGAGAATAATTAATATACAAATAACTATTTTTATTGGCAGATGTAAAATGAAATACCTTTTTCTACAGAATAATATTCACTTTTCATTATGAAAATAAATGGGAACTCGATATTTGTAGCTGATTTTATTACTTCTGAATAGTCATCTCACAATATTAATTTATTCAAATATTAGAATACCATGTAAACTGTTCCTCTTCTACTAGCAAATGCAAAATAATTTTCAACTTAAAATATGTAATGTGGGAACTCAGTCCCTCTATGCGAGTAGATCAGAATGCTTGTTACATTCATGTAGGTATGCAAAGAACTGTAGGAAAGACTCCAGTTTAATAAGCAGATAATCTTGCCCACAGCTGAGGGAGAAGGTTTTCAGTCTATGCACTTTCACAATTAGGCTAGTGGGTGTATGATAAAGTCTTACAAAGTAATAAAGGAGAGAATCCTAAGAACGAGGAACATTGCTCTTTACTAAAAACAAGACCAAAGGACATTTAGTATACCATAAAGAAGTGAATATTTCACTTGGTATTCAATTAATCTGTAGAAACCAAACAAAAGTATCATAGGGGCCAGAAAGACTTACTGAGTTTCTACAAACACAGACACAAAAAATATAAAAATACATGGATATTTCTCTTAATAACAGAAGGGACAAGAATTTCCATTCCTCAGTACATAAACCAGTCTCAGAATAGACTAGAAATGGTAGCAAAACATTTCAGAGGGACAGTTTAATTTGGTAGGCAGTGTTGACACAACAGTTCAGTTAGCTTGCCCTTAAACTTCCAAAGTGCTTCAAATTATCTGTATCTGTATGTACACGTCCTTGGTTTTCTTTAAGCTCCAGCTCTGATCTTCCACGAATATTGGGCCAACATTCCAGACCAGGGCCCTGGCGCTTCCCAGCATGCCATGTGGACATAAAAAGCAACCACTGCTCAAGTTTTTTGAGTATGATCACCTTCTAATCATGGTTTCTTCATGCAAAAATCTAAAAGGCAAATGGCTGGTAACATTGCATTTTTCACCCATGAGTTGTTAAACTCAGTCAAATAGTTCTCTGACACAGTATCTTCCCCCTAGGAGAAGTAATGAATGAATGGCAGATAGTTTAGTATGCAGGACTCATTTTTTCAAAACACTCCATACAATATGTATGCAATGAACTTTAGATCATCAGAAAGATTTGTCAACAATTCACTCTGGTATTTAAAGGAGAAGGAAATGGAATTATAAACACTGGAGTATCACCTACCACCTGGGTAATCTACTGAACAATCAATCTGGATGCAAATCTTGGGTGCTTGATCAGAAAGCTTAAGTTTAATAAAATAAAATGTTTGATTTGCCATCTTCCAAAGCAGCTCACACTGTGTTGTATAC